CTCTTATGCAAGAGTAAGTTGGCAGTTGGATTTTGGCCATTATTTGTTAGAGTTCTGCTCAGACATAAACATTTTGTGCTCCATATGTGTGAAAAAGTAGCTGTGTTCTTGAGAGTTGCAGTTCTGGAACTGGAGCAAAATGAGCTCTGTTGTTTGCTGTGCTCGGCCTCCAGAGAGACCGTCTGTTCAGGAGCATCTATAGCAACCCAGACAGTGCTGCACCTGTGGTGGTGAAACCAAGTAACGCTGATTGACTGAGCAGCAAGTGTGATGATGGAGAATGCTTGCCAACATTCTGCTTGCTTAGGATGCAAACCTGAATAGATGCATTGGGCAGTTTTCACTTCTCTGAAAGGCTGGATTGCGATTTGACTGAGGAGAAACTTCCCTCAGGCCCTGGGAACAGGAGCATCTTTAGGGGGCAGTATGAAGACTGGGGGGGGGAGTCTTGAAGGTAGGAGCAGCTGCTGTTCTGAGTTGGGGGCGTCACCCAGAAATTGTGGAGTGAGGTTTGTGCACATATGTATGCAAAACAAACCAAATGCAGACTGCCCGTGCCAGAATGTTTTTTTTTAAAGCTAAGCAATGAGATATTCAGGGACGAAGTAACTCAAAATGAAATTCTCCCTTCCACAATGCTGGAGTTAGGGGTGCTGTACACAGTACATATACATGCATGGCACTTATATGTACTGTATTCCCAAAATCATAACTACAAAGCATAAAGGTTTATTCAGACAGAGAAACCTTCTCCAACCCGCATCAGCCTCCCAGCGTGCCCCAGTACCTTCCCCAGCCACCCCATGGAGAGAGCAGGACAAGAGAAGGGGGGGCAGTGGGGCTGCCACTTTCAGACCGGGGTCAACTGCACTGCCCACAGCAGGACCCTAGGCGAAGCCAAGACCCACCTTTCTGGAGTCACTTCTTGGAGATGAATAGGCAACCCAAGACCCACCTTTCTTGAGTCACTTCTTGGAGATGAATAGGCAACCCAGTATTTATTTATTCGGGAAAACCATGCTGTTCAGATCCCTGCAGTACAAGGGAGGGAAGTGTAAACTGGGTAAGTGGCTGGGAAACAAGATCCTGTTGAGAAACGGATCTGGGCAGTTCTGCCTACTGACTCAGAATAACCTGGCAATGGACTGCAGATTTTAAAGATGAAATGGGTTGCCCCTCTCTTGTTCTGGCAAGGATAGCATGCCCGCTGCACACACCCTTTTTGTACCTCCTACAAAGCCCTTCTGCAGCACGCAGGTGTCTTGTTCCGCTGGTGGCCATAATTTTATTTACAGATTGTTGCCCATGTAAATGGCTGCCAGCAGGCTGAGTGCTATAGGCCTCAGACAAGCCCCTTATTTCCACCTTTTGGCTGGTCAGTTCAAAAGCCCAGCCCGTCTTTGCTTTTCCTCCAAAGCAAGGAGGCCGGGGGGGGGGGGTTTGATCCTGATCTGCAACCTTTAACTCCTCATGACTGTGTAGCAAGTCCCTACACCAGTGATAGCATATGCTTGCATACATACAGACTAGGTGTTCCTCTTATTGCCAGTCTGGGAAAGCTGCAGAATAGTGTAAATACTAGAGTTAACAATAATCCTCAAATATTGCATCTATACATGTAGATCTGATGTTGTGTGTGCTTTAAGTAAACCCGTTTTTATTTTTTCCTTAAGTGTCTGATTCCTGGATTTCCTGAACAATATTGACTACAGGATAGATTCTTTCACATTCCTTGTAGCCTGGGCATTCAGAATATGGCTACTCGTTTTGTGTTTGTTGCTCGTTTAAAGGGATACTTGCAAATTGTAGAGCGGACTAATTCTGTTCCGCTTCTAACATATCCAAAACAGGGCTAGAATTGGCTTTCTTTTGCTGTGCAAAAATTCAAAAGCACGTGCTTTCACTGGAAAGAAAGCTATTTCCCCATCAGTAGGGAGACAGTGTGGTGCACAAGCGTTGTGAAGCTGCCATGTTTTTTTCGTTGCTTGCCTGTTCAGTGATTTTGGGAGTCTGAGGATGATGTTTGTAGGCTTCAAGCGAGTAGCTACTTGTGAACTTACTTCATATGTGTAAGGATACATTCCCAGATTCACCATGTGGAGGATCATGTTTGTTTGAAGAAACTGGAGGGTATCCAGTGGAGGCTTTCTTTTCCAGAGTGGAAACGACGCGTTCCTCTGGACAGCGTCATCTGGGAAGAGGTGGCAAATAGGTGAGCTGTTGGGGAATAAAAATGTGTACCGTTTTCTGCAGGTAGTAAGTTTTTTCCCCCAGCTGCTCTGAAGAGAGGTATCTATGGTAAGGATAGCTCTGTAAATGGATGTGGCCTGTATTAAAACATACAATAGTGCTGGTCTAGTCACAAAACAACATTATCATACACTTGATGAGTTTTTGGAGAACAGGGAGAGGCTCTTTGAGGAAAGTAAATAATTTTTCTCACTCTTGTTGATATGTCTATATCTATAGATATATCAACAAGAGTTGTTGATCTATATCTAGCTATCTATACACACACACACACACACACATTCCAGGGGCAAGAAAATTGCTCTTGTCCTTGAGGTGTCATCAAAGGTATGAAAGGGGCTCCACCCGAAACCCTGCAGAGCCCTGGTTCCCAACCATGGTTCCCCAGATGTCCTTGGATTACAGCTCCTAGAAATCCCAGCTAGTGGTAAAAGCTTCTGGGCATTTTAATCCAAGAACATCTGGGGGAACCAAGGTTGGGAACCACTGCTGTAAAGAAACCTGAGCCAAACATTGCTGATCTTAAAAGATGGCACATATATGAAGTCTGTGAGACTTGTACGTTGGTTGTCAAGATGGTTTGAATCCTCTTCACTGCATGTTTATCATCAGCCTTAAGCTGTTCAAAGTGCAGCTTAACTCATCTTGCTGATGCAAATGTACAAAAACAAGCTTCTCGTCTAGCTGTGTGGAGCCAGAAGCATTGAAATGGAGTCCAAAGGCATTAATGTTGTCTCCATAAAGTAATGAAATAGATAACAACATAAGCCTGATGGGTTGAGTCATCATACCACTGAGTTGCTTGGAGCATCACTGCACTTTAAAATGCCCCATTAAACCTATTGGTTTTAGAACAGCAACCCAAACATCATTTTTGTGATTTCATTTGTCTGTCTAATTGTGTCATCTGGATAGCGTTACATATTGGGAATGTTTTCGGAGCGGAAGCAGTGCTCCGTCTGTTTCTACAACAAAAAGTAATGCAGCATCTTTTAAGATGAACAAATTTGTTTCAGTGTGAGCTTTTGTAGAGACAGTCTAATTTTTCAGAGATAGAAGTGGGTTGTGCCACAGTACTTCTGTTTTTGTTTTCTTGAGAGAGAGGTCATATTTGATCCATATTTTTTATAGCGCAAGAGACATTGGTATTTCTTACCTGTTTAATATCAATAGCAGCATAATATGTCAAAAGTCAGTACTGTTTATAAAACCTTCATTTAGTCTGTTAGCATATTTTGCCTGGTTTTGGTCATGCTGAATTTTCCTGCATGTGAAAATAACATTTTTGAAGCATTCAAAAGAGAGCTAGTTTGGTCTCAGATTCAAAGACCATGTCATTCAATATTCAGAGGATGGAAAAATCTCAGTAATTTCTACTCTTGAGTCTGTATCCTGCCCTGCAGAGAGAATTCTGGCTTTCTACACCTTGTTTATCGGGTTCTAGTCTCTTGAAATGGGAGACTTTGAAGGGGAAGGTATTTGAAACAGCATTGCAGGATGTGGAAGATTTGATAGTTTAGTACAAGAACATTCAAAAAGTTGTTTATTGGACTATGTAAATAGGGCCGTTTGAGCTCTGTGGACAACTGCTATAAGATAAATTATTGGTATGCAGATAATATAGGTAACTAATCCATAATCTGTCTGTTTTTGAGCTAAATAGAATGATCTGTGGAATTATCCCTTTTCTGTGTGGGCTTCTTAGCTAGACAGCCTCACCAAGTGGCTCGAAGGCAAGCTGCTATCTTTCAGCATCAGCCCCACTCACTGACCCCCCACAAAGGCAATAATTGCCTTCCTGGACACATTGCAAGCTGAGGACCTGCAGATTATTTGGGGCTACAACTCCCGTGAGCCTGAGCTACCTGGCAAGTAGCAAAAGGACCACAAGATTTGAATTCTGAAAGATCAGATGAGGAAAGGCTGCGAGGGATTTGAATAAATCACCTTTTTTTACCATATTTTCCAAGTACTTCCATGCCCTTCCCTTTGAGTCAGTAATCATTGAAGCAACCATTTAAGACATGATAGTATTGTTCCCAGACCATAAAGAAGAGAGTTTTGTCTGATGCTGCCCCTGAGCCTGTGGGTGAGGTGGGATATGCATTTGGGGATTTGAAGTTCCATGTTTTTTGCTGTAATTTGTAAACAAGTGAACTGGTCAGTAAAAAGCCTTCAGTGACGTGCGAAACAGGTGGCTGAGAATGTGAAGTTCTGTGAGCTACTAACATATATGCAAGGTTCCCGCTAGGCATTATGCTGCAGCTTGTTAAATTGTTGAAAGTGCAACTTTGACAAGTAACAACAAAGGATCTGCAATCTGTAGGTTTCCTACCCCTTTTGCATGACTAAAAGATCTGTGGGATGTATTGATGAGACAAAATCTGAATCTGCCAGGGTAGATAAAAATTCATTTAAATCACCAAAAAATCCAATTAAAAAAAAATTAATCGCAATTTAATTTGAGCAATTTGATTTAAATCGAAACCATCTTGGAATCTGCGCACAGTTCCATTTTTTAATTTATCAGGCAAGCCCTTCTCTTGCTTCAGCAGATGTCTCTGAGCGAATTAACCGAAGCATGAGGCGCAGGGGTGTAGGTAGCGTGGATTGGAGAGAACGGCCTGTGCGCTAGTGGAGTCTCAAATACTTTTTTGTTTTTTGTTTTTTTTGCCTGACACTTCTTGTCCTTGAATCACTGCAGCTTCTATTCTGAGGCTTAAAATTGCTTGCTTTTAATTTAATTGCAGGTGCTGGAAATTGAAGACAACAGAAACTGTTCCTTCCAGTTGCTAGCAAGTGATCATTACCCCACTGTTTTAGAAAGATTAGAGTGCCAGTCAAGAGACTCAAGACTCAGTTGTGTTCCTGTTTGGGTGTTGGTCCTGTTAAATCCGCCTTGAAGATTAAAACTTTTGGCCTAAATATGGCAGTTAACAATACAGTTCTGTATTATATGTTAGTTGATAGGCATTCATTCAGCCTCTGGAATTCCTCCCTCAGGGATGGGAGTGAACGCTGTGGAGAAGCAAAGAAGATGACCCGGAAAAAACCCGAAAGGAAAGAAATGGTTAAGCTCCCTGAAAGGAAGATTTGAGAGGGTCTCCTTAGTGGGAGGGAGAACCCTCTTTTCCGCACCCACCCAAAACTGATGTTGGTGGTAACCAGGGTTTTTTTTAAATATCATTCTAAATTTGGTTTGAAATGCTTGTCACATTTTTCTTGTTCCTTTACTGCATTGAGTTTGCTTGTTTGCAAGGCTGTGGTGGTGAAATGGGCAGGCCATGTGGTGGAAAAAATAAGTGCAGCAGAAACTACCAACAGAATGGAAAAGGGCTAAACCCTTTGAGGTGAGGCTTGAGATAAGCCTTTAATGAGAACGGACAAAAAAAGGGTGAATCTCTTTCTGCACTGGCTATTTCAGCCATCTCCATAGCTGGGAATTTAATCACATGCCTGAAAAGGAGTGAAAAAGCATCCTAATAGTAAGTTACTTCCTGGATGCTGGAAGTAGCACTTGAGGGTACAAGGAGGGACAAGGGAGGTAAAAAATGTTATCCTGGCGGATGTTAATTTAACCTAAGGTGTTCCCTTGGAAGCATGCTGGATTTTTGGTCTTTCCCTTCTAATAGGTCAGTGGTTCTCAGCCTTGAGTTCCCAGATGTTCTGGGACAGCAGTTTCCAAAAATGCTGGCTAGTTGTGAATGCTTCTGGGAGTTTTAGTGCAAGAACATCTGGGGATGCAAAGTTGGGAAACCTCTGCAATAGGTGAAAAAAAAATGCTAATTTTTGTGGCCAGCCATCAGGGGCCACATAAGCTGTTGTATAGCTTAGAACATGCTAATTGTGGGCAGTGGTCAATGGCATGGGCCTTTCTTACACTACCAGTATTCATATCCTGCTAACCAGAGGTATTTTCTTCCCTCTACTCTGCTGTTCTCTTAAGGCTGACACACCACGGCTCCATTTTGACATCTCTAGGAACAACTAGGGGCTGCTGTGAAATGGTGGTCTTAAGTGCTCCACCACAAACGTGGAGAGCAGGTATGGCTGAGGATCATAACAGTTTCCATTACTTTCTCTTCATCTCCTAAGAAGCATCCACACCACTTATGACATCTCTAGGAACAACTAGGGGCTGCTGTGAAATGGTGGTCTTAAGTGCTCCACCACAAACGTGGAGAGCAGGTATAGCCGAGGATCATAACAGTTTCCATTACTTTCTCTTCATCTCCTAAGAAGCATCCACACCACTTAAGTCCCTTCCCTGACACCCCTCAGCTGCTGCCTGTAACCAACCTTACACTGCAATCTGCAGCAAAAGTCCTTGGTTTTTGCCACATCCTTTTTCATGGCAACAGTGAAACCCTGCTACAGGAGTAAGCAACCTGGCGCCTTCCAGAGGCATTGGGCTACAAGTTTAGTTTGCAAATGCTAACAATGCGCTATAATAAAGCCAGCACCCTAACAGGGATCTGGGGGTTGGCTTTTGCGTTTTAGATCTTTCACCAATAAACATCCAGTATTCTTTTGTTCGAGTTTGAATGGTAGCAAAAACAGGCTGGCCGTTGATGGTTCTTGTTACCTCTCGGGCAATTAGCGCTGTGGAAGGGGCGTATTCCTTTGCTTAATGACAGTGAGAGGTGTATTTGTAGAATTCCTTTTGTACAGACAGCCTGGTTGCCAAGGTTAAGCCCCCAAAACAGTTTTTCTTGTTTAGTAAGCTTTGTATATTTTTTTTCGGTTGGCATGATAACTTTAGGTGCCAAGGAAGCAGTTGCTTCAGTTTGTGAACACTTAAATTTGCTTGTTTTTCTTGACGACAACAAAATATTACTGTAAGTTTAAAGAGGATGTAAAAGCAGTGTTTATTAAAATAATTATTAGTGAGGTCTTGCCTGTTGAGTCAATGGAGTTCAAGAAAGACAATCACAATGAATATTAAAATGGTACTGGTGGGTGCTGTTCCTTTGGGGAAAACGCAAACCATTTTCTGGATTTCCATGGGCTGTGTTTAAGGTGAGCACCGGTGGGACCTCAGCTACTCTGTCTCGCTTATGGTGCTTATTTGCTTAGATTGTCACTCTTGAATTGGCCTTCTCAGCCACACTAGACGCTGTTCCAAGTCCTCCATGCAGAGCACGTTACCATAGTCTCTCAAGACTGAAGGATGCCTATGATGATGATCAGCAAACAAGCAGTGAGAGAAACAAGAAGCAGATACAACAACCTGCCCACCCTTCTTGCTTGGGTTGTTCATGTGGCCATGCAGATTGGGCTTTAAAGGAGGTTGGCAGGCAACAGCAGAAAGGAAGGGTTAACCCACCCACCCCCAAAAAAAGCATCTTGTCCAAAGTCTCTCCAGAAATATGCAGCTATCAAGTGGAGTATCACTCAGACCACAGGGTAGAAGGGTAGGTGCTGGCCTGTGGTGGAAAACAAAGAGAAGCATGCAAAAGCCTGTGTAAGGTGACTTCCTAATATATTTACTGCTGGTATATGAGTGACTAGTGGGCCCATGGAAAGTTCCTCTGAGAAATCGTGACCATTCTCTTTCTGTTTGGTAGAACAGAGATTCCCTTAGCCATTTCAGAGGAGGGATCCAGATTCACCCTTCTTCTTTATTGGGTCCATTTGTATTGATGTGTTGAAACATTTAAAAGGCTTGTGAGCCTGAAACTGTTCTTCAAGTAGGTAAAAAGCTTGCGCTTTTTTTTTTTTTTTTTTTTTTTTTTTTTTTTGGTCAACTCAGATGTTCTGTGTTCTATCAAAAGTTGACCTGATCAAACAGGTCAGCTTTATTCTTCTTCCTTCAAATCTGCTTGGCAGTAGCAGTTCATGTTCACTTTGAATATTTCAGCCGCACGACCCAAAACTTGTTAGAAAATCTGGCGTGGTCTGGCAAATAGCATTAAGAGCGGTGAATGCATGACAGGACACAGGTCTGAAAATACAGGAGAGACCATGCTCACTTCAAGAGACACTTTGGTGTTCTTCTCTAGACAGATGGGTGCCACCGGATCTCTTAAAGTACACAGATATTTCAGGTTTTCCTCAGTGATCGGAATGTTCTCTTATTGGTGATTAAAAAAAAGTCTTGTAAATCAGCCTTTGTGTTGAGATATCTGGGAACAGACCAGCAGCATCTTCTCTTAATTAACATCCAGGGTATTGCAGTGGTCTGTGCCCATAAGATGGTTACTGATCACCAGGAGTTAAAAGATGTCAATTTCATCTAGCCTCATTCTCAGCCCCATAAAGAACATTGTCTTGGAACTGCCTTTCCTTATGATTTGACAGGCTCCCTTCAGCCAGGAATGTTGTTAAAACATCTGAGGAAGCTGCTCTGGCTTTTTTGTTTTTTTTTAAAAAGCAAAACTAATCTGTTTGCAGGATTTAATGTGCTTATCTTCTGCATCTGCCATTCTTGTCTCTCGCCCCCTGCAGCTCTGACTGGCTGACTTTTATGTTTACCTTGCCCTAGATAAAAGCAGGGAACAATGAGTCACTCAGAGGCAACAAGGAATCGTTAAAAAGAGTTCCTTTGAATGGTTGAAAGCTTCAAAGTGGCTGCTTTTGTTGAAAGCATTCTTAATTCTAACCATGATTTGGTTCCTATTGACCACAAGCAAGAAAAAGAAAAAATGAAAAAGAAAATCAGGATGTCCCCCTGCCCCAAAGTACATGATCCAGTGGGTGACTTTTATCACAAGTTGCTTTCAGTCCAGATATTTGGAGTGGCTTCTGCTATCAAACATGGCAACCCTGTCATTAAACTTTGGCACAAGTTTTGAGTGAAAAGGACGTGGTTGAAATACCCGTTTCATCTGCTAGTTGCACAGTTTGGGGTGGAGTGGCAAAAGGGGGCATAGGAGTTGAGAATGATACTAAAATTGGAGGTTTATCGTTGACGAAGCTGCATTGTTTGCTACTTGGGTGTCCCATCTAGGGACAAAGTACGACTCTGGCTGGTTAATGGCAGTGGGAATAGCTACCCACCCACCTACCACAAGTGCATAAATACTAAAAACCCACCACAAAACAAACCCAGAGGCAACTGAATTCAACATCAGACTCATGGATGAGGGTCAAAGGGGAAGAATACTCCTAGAGGCATCTTTGAGAAGAACGGATTTAACACGGTTTCTGAAGGTCAGAAGGGAGTGAGCCTGTATATCATCGGGCAGCACGTTCCCTAGCATTACTGAGAAAGAGGACCAGAGAGGACCTGGAAGCCCTTTGCTTCAGCTGGCCAGGGGACACTACAGCCCAGAGGGTCACGGGACCAGGGGTCTCTATATAGATTGCATTCATGTAAGAAAGATAGTGATCTGAAGTAACTTTCTCTCACGGAAATGGAATGGAGAAGTGCCTTTAAAGAGATCAGAGAAATCTCCAGCTTGCTGCACCTTCATGGCCCATTCTGGTTTGCGATTTAGAGAGCTGGTCTAAGAAAACTGCCACTGTTCTATTAGATGGCTCTGGGAAATGGCCTGTATCTTAAGTTCCTGCCTCCTGCACTTAATAGTGGTGACCAAGCAAGCTGGAAAGCAAAGCAGCTGAAAGCTATTCCTTGACTTGCATGATAGATACCACACAGAGAGAGAGAGTGAACAAATGGCATAGGATAAAATTCCACTGAGCCCAAAATATTCCTGCTGAGCTAATTTAGAATTCATTTTGGCATTTGGTTAATAGCCACTACAATGAAGGGTTTTTCTTTTCCCCTAATGGAGGAAGAGAGGCTGTATTTTTTAAAAAGATGGCAGAGAATTTGGGATGGGATCGTTGCCTGAAGAGGCAAATGTAAGTGTTAATGGAAGGTATTGACTTTCAAGAATACACTTTACAATCAAGGGCCAGTTAAAGTACTCTGGAAATATTCTCCAGAAATAGTGTTGATTGCTATAATTGATTTAACTGTGTTTTCTAACAAGGGC